CGAGCGATGCCGGTGCTGCCTTGCACAGCAGCATGCGGCGCTGTTTCCCCGACACGCGGTTCGAGGCCACGGTATTCCCGTGTTGCCAAGAACTCGCCTAGAGTTCCGTCAGAGTCAATCGTTTGTCTCCATCCAAGCACTATACCAGCTTCGCTGCGGTACGTTGTGAGTTGTTGGGTGCCAGCCTTCGACACCAACGCCGTACTGGACGTTCCTTCCATGTCGTCGCCTTCGCCGCAGTCTGCAGCGGTCCCATGTCGCTGGTTTTGATGGTACTTGCCCGTCACCAGGGAGAAATATGGCTCATCGGGCGAACCTTCATCCTCCATATCGTCGGCTGCTGCGACGAGCGACGGCAATACTTCCTGAAAATCGGCTTTGTATTGTCCCGACCACTCGCTGTCGCCATGGGTGAGGGCCAAATGGAGCTCGTACCTAAAATCGTCGCCATCAGGACTCTCACAGAGATGGACAAGTTCGTCTTACGGTGTCACAATCGGCTTGAAAAACTCCGCGTTGTCCAACAACGAGTTCTCGGCACATGCTACGAGGCAGAACACATCGATTTCGGCAAAATTGGACAGCTTGGGCACGTTGATTTTGCCCACTACAAACGTGTACGATTTGCGGCCGCTCCTATCACAAAATAGCCGTCCAAGGCATGAAACCCTCGCCACAGGACTGCCGATGTGTACTTGGCAATGAGGGTCTGCAGCTTCTGAACAACGTTGAGACAGTTGGCAACACCCAACGTTCCCATGAGGATGCCGATGATTTGAGCTTCCTTGGCTTTTTGCACGAGGAAATAACGACGATTCAGGGTGCGGTTTATGGTCGTGCCTTCTCGCCGCGCTACCTTGGTCTGTGGGTCGTACGATACGCACACAGTGTCTCCAGCACGCAGGAGGATGTTGGTCAAGTGCGGGGACTCCGTGCCCACGTACAGCAGAACCGTGGACGGGCTAAACGTCCGAGACGGCGACAGAGGAATCGTCAGCCCTCCAATAAATGTGAAAGGCTCGCCCTCCGCAGCCAGCGTATCTGTTATTACGTCGCATGTTGGTATGAGTAGAATCAAGGGTCCCGGTCACGAGTGCAAATGGACATACCTGGGTGGTAAATGGTCCTCATCGTGCTGCAGAGTACATCGAGATGGGGATACGACGATCTCAACGCTGCGGCAACGGCGGCCGCCTGATGCTCGTAGCATGGTTCGTACAACAGGACGTGGGTCGCTGAAGCATCGACGGAGGCCAAGACGGTGGTGAACCCAGCGGCAATCTCGGCCGCATCGCTCGGAACGTTTCCAAACACGTAAATTACTGGAAGGGATGACGTTGGACTCAAGCATGCTCGGCCGTAATGGACCACGCAATCAGCAAGCAAATGGTGCCCAGCCACTTCGTCGACACAGCAACTCCCGTACGAAGTGTCACCCAGGACAAAAATGCGTTCGATGGGATACCCACGGGAAGCGAGAGCAGTGCAGAGATGTTTCTGGACTTGGATCGAGTCGGGAAGCATCGAATCGGGAAATTGCAACGCAATACGGCGGAATCCATGATTTTGAATGTGCTCCGCCGTCTTGTCAATGCTGTAGAACGACGTGATGTCGGAGTGAACTGCACTGAGCGCTACAGCAGCAGATGCGCTGTCGGTCGATGTGTGAATGTGTACCGACTGCTGCATGATGCGAGATCCGTCGTCCACCGCAAAGCCGGTGGACGCCATTCTTGTCGGTGTTGAGTTTGTCAAGTACCAAGCACAGAAACGTTCATGAGGATTGGTCAGTTGATTTATTGAGATCAAATTGCATCCAATAATAGGTTTTTATGTAATATAATTTGGCCAATCAGATTGTTTTTATCTAATAACATTGATTATGTCCTTTTTCAAAGTGAGTAAGAACACATACATATATCATAACAGGTGTACAATCAATAGGTCAATACATGAAAGCAGGAATTCTCACCTACCCGCTCTGCACTCAATCGACTGTCCAATTGCTCAAAGACTTGGGTCAGCGAGTCCATGGCGTATCTTTGTACTGCTCCGGCGCCTGAAGCACTTCAGTATGGCCGTGGCTGTGCGTCACCGTCCAGCTTGCTCGGTGTCGAGACCCCTGGACGTCCCTGGACGATGCACGTTGAGAGGCGTTACAACAGCTCCACAGGCAAAATGGAACATCCACGCGTGATGTGGTAGCAATTAGCCAACCTCCCACATATTTATTCCGGCTCGGAAATGGACCGCGAAGGTCTGGCTTCGGCCATTGCCTCGCTGTGTTCAAATGTGGCCATCTTGTACCGATGGTTCCTTGGAGGATTGTGTCCTTTGCCTGTAGACGTCGGCACCGATCGAAGTGCGATTGAAATGGCCACCCACGTCACTCAACGCCAGTCTGTCACGACCATGACGGACTTTCAAAAACCAACATCAGATCAAACTGTGTGGGTCACACCATACGACTTCCACGCTGGCTCAGTGCCGCCTCCACCTCGACAACCGCCTCCATACGACCCCATATTCACCGCCACTACACCGCGAATGCCCATGTTGCAGACGTGGAAACGTGGTCAAAAGTACCAGCATCAGCTACAAGAAAAGATCAAGGCGTGGCAAGCCGTCGCGGCCAAAAAGCGAGTGTTCAAGGCCATGCCACTGCCCAAGCTTTACAAATGCAACGTCACCAAGGCATCGAAAGGAGATGCCGCGGTGGCGCTCGTGTGCACCCGGCGCGCGCTTCAGGACGAGAAGAAGAAGATAGAGGCCGAGAAGAAGCAGTTATCGATGGACATGCTGATCCTGCTCAACGCGATGGCAAAATCCCAAAAGCAAGTCGCATTCACATGCCAAGTCCCAATGGAACGGAGCTAACGTGTAAATTCGTACGCCGAGTTTCAAGATTGACCCCTCCCTAACAAATGAACCCTTCGAAATATTGTTCCAACGCCCATCAATAGAGTACAGCATTCTGGGCTCTTCAGTGGCTGAATTAGCCCCCTCGAAACCATGCCATGACTCGGACACACCCTTGCGCATGCTGAGGGATAAATTCTGTGCACATCACCGTCAACAACGAGGGTTACTTGGCGACCGTACTTGAGTTATTGTGGCCCCTTCCGATGAAGGCGAGGGGACCACCAACCTGATTGCATGCATGGCCAGGGAACTGGCACAGAGCGACATGTTGCAAACGAATGTAACACCAAATCGCATCAGATGCTATAGTTTGTGGGTACAACGACTTTACCGAGCATCCCATACGAGGTACGATCGCTTGCTCAAATCCATTGAATTCTCAATCGCGTAGCCACAAGAATCCTTCCAAATGCGTCTCCGCAAGCTGGGCGTGAGGCTTGCGCCGCCTGCCCCGGAGACGGCCAATATCTCGAATTGACTTGTTAGGAGAGCTTTACAATCCCACAACGTGTCGAGCCAATCACTTGAACTCAGTATGGACGTGGTGTTTGACATGGATTGCCAGGAAAACAGGCCAATCAGAAGGGATATCCGGATAAATGGTCAATTTACCGGAGTTTGTCACCTCCAGGGTCGTCTGACATCACATTGCGAATATTGCCGCTATGGTGTCAACTCCGCGCGGCGACATGTTCCACTGCCCACCGCTGCATGCTTGGCAAAGAGACGACCTTATCGTAAAGGGCAAGGAAGCATGCAAGATGCTCGTGGTGAATGCGACAAAGTCTGACTTCAATCCCGTCGAGTCCGTTGTTCAAAACGCTCGAACAGGTTTCCACGCAACGGTTTGTAGTGCTGTTGCTCATTGTGTGCATGCATGTTGTGACGTAGTCGATGTAGATTCGCCGATCAAACGATATGAAGGATCCCCAATACAAAGGGTTTTCGGCGCATACAAAAGTCCGCGCGTCGATCGACGAAGTCGCGGGGTTTTTTGAGTTGGACACGCCTCACAAAGTTCAAGCGTATGCCCGCGTCATGGGTGAAGTCGTGCTGGACAAGCGAACGTTGTATACATTAGTCGAGCGGCCAATTGCTGATGATGCTTCCCAACCGCTGCACTATGTCTCTGTGGAGTGGCTCATGGTGAAGATGCCATTCGGGTTCAACACCCGCGACATGTGCTATTTGGAGGTACCTATCGCCTTCCTATGAATTGCAACAATCAAGGGGTGGTTGAATGTAGTGTCACGACGAATTTTCCTTTCATGACCAAACCACGGGCGAGCTGCGGCGGGGCTGGGCGCGGTGCACACACTCGATCAACTTGGTATGTTGCCCAAACCTGGAACGGACGCACAACGTCGTTCGAATGGACATCATTCGCGTAAGTGATCTCCTTACTGCCACGGAGACCATAAGTCACTAAATCACCGTGTTTTGCGCAGTCGGGCCACGTCTTTCTCGAGTCTTGCGAACGAGGGGTCCTCGACTACTTTCGTGTGGCAGTTGGGAGTGCGAATGGAACGATGGCCAAGCACGTATCCAAGGCTCTGGCCGACCGGCGCTTGAAGCACATGATGTCCATGGTACCCACTACTACCAGCGCAACACTGTCGGTGTCTTGACGTCTTGACGTTTCTGTAGGCGCTGAATTTGGAGGAGTACTTTATCTCGCAGCGCGTTCGACCGATGCTGGACGTGCCCGTGGGCCACTTTCAGTCAAAGAACGCCGTCCAGTACTGCATGCACTGCTACCACCGATTTGCATGGCATGCGACGAAACGCCAGTGCCGAGGGTGCGGTGACGTCACGTGTACCAACTGCAGCTGCGTGTGGAACCTCCCGCTAGCCCGCAGAAACTCGATCAAAGTGCAGCTATGTCACGAATGTATCACAGACCACACGAACAACACGAAGCGATATCGTCGGCGCACAGACACCGCGTCGCCTCGCCGATCGATGTACTCAACATGCGACGACGACGACGAACGAACGACGTATTCCCACTCGAGCAGCCACCCGAGCATGTCGCTGCATCCGTCGATAACTGTATCGACCGTGCTTCCCCCCACGCATAAGCTACCGTCCCGACCTGAATCCTGTTGGACGGCATCTGATGCTTCCTCCGCCTGCAGCTCGCAGTCATCGACAACTTCGTTTAGCATGGACACAGCGGCGGAGCGCATGCATGTGCTCAGTCCAAGCCAGTGGCGCGTTTCCGAAGAAGTAAATACCTCCATTCGAGGCGGCATGCTCACGTTTCACTCCGATTCCACTGCAGTGTACCTGCATCAGGAGCGGACGAGTCGATCTGCTTGACGACATGCCCATGCATGGAAAGCGATTGCAAAGTTGAACTAATTTATTGAATCGGCCGAAACAATTTTGATTACAATTGCTTATGGCTGCAGGAGACATTGGCATTGCAAGGATTTGTGGGTAGGAACCTAGATGTGTTGTGAGAAAAAACCACCGACACGTGGTGCCCTTCCCGACGATGTTCACATCGCAGTTGTGCCTCTGGTGGATGGACCATCCCTTGCCTAGCGGTCATGATCCTGGTGGAGGTGTGCTCCAGTCGCCTTGCTAACACATGCGGCCAATGATCGAAATCTCGTCACGTGGTGGTGCAGGGCACCATCAGATCTCTCCTCGTCTCTACCGACGAAACTCCGTCAAGCGGAGGCACCTCCATGGCTCTCTCCACCGAAAGAGCGACTAGTCTACTTCACCTCATTGGCGACGCCGTGCCGCCGCTGACGTCACTTGGATTCAACTCGCGTGGGTGGGGCTTCGCGTTCCTGCCAGTCCGCCAACTTGAAGCACAATTCACGACAGGTACATCCGGATAAAGGATGTAGGACCAATCATATGTAGCGTTTGAATCTGCATATCCGTACGTACCTGGTTGTCGCTGTTGTTGTCAAATCAAAAAGCGAGAGACGGACCGCCAACATGGGGAGGCGCCGCCACAACGTATCAAGTCATGCCTTCCACTGCCCGCCGCTTAGCGAGAAGGTCCGACACGAACTGATCCTCGAGGCAAAGCTCGCGTGCAAGTTCCTCGTCGTGGATGCCACCGCGTCCGACGCACTCCCCATCGAGAACGTCATCGTGAACGCAAAGACTGGCCGTCATGCCACGGTTTGTCGTGGCCGAATAGTTTGATCCGTCCAACTGACTGCATGAAATTGCTCAGGCGCGTCGCATTCGAGATCAAGTGGACTCGACACTCGTCGGCACGTCAGCCCATACACGCGTGAGAGCGACCCTCGAGGACATTGTCGAGTTTTTTCGCCTCGATTCGCCGTCCAAAGTCGACGACTACGCACGTGTGATGGGAGATACGATAACAGACAACGTGTCGTTGTACACACTCATGGAGCCTTCCCCTTGTTTTGCCGGAGAACAACCGACGACGTGGCAACAGACCTACAGCAATCCTATGCATTATGTCGGCGTGGAGTGGCAGCTGTCCAAGCCCAAGGGGTTTTCGCCGCGGGATTTTTGCTTCTTGGATGTACGTCGAGTATGCATGGCAATTTGCACACGTGTCATTCTGCATTGCATGAACGAGAATTTCCCATCAGCTCGTGCTGTCATGGTCTCGCCATTTCGAGAATACCCAAGTGATGGAGATTTTCATGTAGTACCAAGACTCGTTCTTCTTTGTGGATCAAGTGACGGGCCAGGAGCGGCGCGGGTGGGCGCGATGTCTGCACTCTGTTGCGTTGGATTGCTGCCCGGACATGGAGAAGTCGGCGGGCATCATTCGCGCCAAGATCGTTCGTGTACGACGTGGGTTTGTGCGCATTCGTACTGACACGTTGGCAATAGTCGGGACACGTGTTTATTGAGTCGACGGACAAGGAGGGGGTATTGGACTACTACAAAAACTACTACATCGTTCCCGGTGGCAACTTGCTCAAGCATTTCCCGACGTTGTACATGAAAAAGATGCTGAAGCAATTTACGACTTCGGTACGTTCGGCAGCGCTCGCATTGGTTCAGAGGATGACGCGTGCGTCGGCCTCGTAGGTGCTGAATCTGGAAGAACACTTGATTCAGCAACGGCTTCGTCCGATTCTCGATGTTCCTGTATCCGCTTTTCAAAGCAAGAAGGACGTGGCGTCATGCATGCATTGCTCCCAAAAGTTCAGCTGGCTCGTCCCCAAGAAACAGTGTCGAAGCTGCGGAGACATTGCGTGCTCTCGATGTTGTTCACCGTGGCAATTCCATCTTGACAGCACGTCGTATGTGAAGGTTGACTTGTGCCAGCGATGCATCTTGGATGAAGCCGAATTGCCCACTGCATTTTCCGCACGAACGTCGCGAAGTACGTGGACTGCGCTTTTTTCTGTTGTATCGTCAAAAGGATTCTAAATGTATCTTCCTTTGTACAGCTACATCGAGGTCGTCGCGAGTGCACAGTGCGCACAATCGATCCCATCATGGCCACAGATCTCACTACTCCGACGACATTCGTGCCAGTGACGGGCACAACTATCGAGTGCGACCGTCGCAATTTTCTCATTATGTTCACCCCCGCGACACCAGCCATGGACAACCGAGTGTGATCATGCTGGGTGGGCCGGCCGACAGCTATCAGTACAATCCTTTCCACCAACGCGATGCCGCCCCTTGTGGCAGCAACTCACCCGATTCGCTCGACAGTGATGACATTCACGTCATTTCCCCCACAGAATTACGTGGGTCGCAGATGACGTTGGTGTCGTCGGCGCGAGATGTCCTCCTGACCTTTCACTCAGACTCGTCATCAATATACCTATGATGAATCTGGCCGACGTCATGTCTCCCCACGGGGTTGCGAGGTAGTCCATGCCTTGCTGCAGGGGAACCTAGCGCGGTCCTGCGGCACGCCATTTGCAAACTCACCTGCATGAATTTTTAATTATCCGGCACAAACGTTTGAACAATTTTGGTAAAAACTACTCCGGAGTACTACCCAGTCCTTTTCACCCTCATGTGTCATTTCTGCGTTTTTCGGTTGACTGTGAATACTGTACCAATTTTACAAGGGGAATATAGTCGTTAAAACTTGAAAGTTTGCGCTACTTCAAGTCCGGATAATATCCACTGATCTTATGTACGAGGGCAAGGACGGAGATTGGTGTGGCGCACTGCATGAGCCTCGCCATCGCCGCGTCAAACATGAACCAGAACGTGAGCCTAGCTTCGTATGCTGCTCCATGGGAGCATGTGAGTCACCATGAGCCCACGAATGCGTAGCCACGACCGTCTGTTCTGTTGCTCAAGGCAATCGAAGACGGCAACTTGTCGACGTGCTCCTGTGAATTCCTCGATGCAACGTCATCGATGCTCTTGAACTGATGCGTGTGGCTGTGTGTAGCACGGCAGCCAAGCAGAGGGTTACCGGCAGCAAGCGACTCAGGACCAAGGAGGCAAATCGAGAAGTGAATTGGTGTTGCCAATATAGCTCCATTCCTATGTTCAGTTGTTCTTCCTACTGGCGTATGCATGACGAGCATGCAGCTCGTCCTTCAGCGACGCTACGCCGTCGCTGGTAGACATCAACAATGCAATGGTGCAAGTCACAATCTTGGCCATGACCTTTCGTCACCGAGTTCTTCGTTTCCTGATCCGGATGCCTTGTCTTTCGTGAGCGCGGGAAAACTTCAACACTAGAGAGGTTTTGCAACTTGTCCAGTCACGATCCAGTTGTCGATTTGTAAACACAAAATCCAGCTGGTGACAAAACAGGAGTTCGCCTGTGAAACTTGTTCTGGAACCTGTGAGACTCAATCTCTATGCAGCAGAAATGGCGAAATGTGCGGAACTACTTCCATTCCCACACCATTCAAACGATAGGCTCCTGCAGCTTTGATGTCCACCCCGGTCAAGCGGCGCAACTAC